TGCTTGATTAATATTCAATATAAATGAATAAGCTAAAAATATTAGTTTCTTTAATTTTTATCATATTTTTTAGCCAAGATACATAATAAGTTAATATTTGATTGGTATTTATCATATATTATCTCACAGTAGAAAAATATATTTTTCAATTTAACTGTTTGATATATATTTAAAATAATTTTATATATTTTTATTTGTAAAAATATAAGTTTATTGTGTCTTTTTTTGGAGTCAATAATATACAGTGTTTGCAAATGACGTTAGTTGACTTTCACTTTTTCTATTTGAATTTTTGAAAAAATCTATGCGTCTTTGACACACGCTCTCGTATGCATTTTCTGTTCCAAAAATTCTATTATACCTTTGTATTTTCAAATTAGAAAAAGTAGGAAGATAAATAAAATGGGAGCTTCGAATTTTTCTGAAAAGAAGTTATTACATATTAGAAAAGATGAAAATGCTCAATCCACAAGTTTCTTTCTTTTTAATATTGTTAAATGACATTTTTTCTTTAAAAATATTCATGTTCTCTATTGTTCTTTTAACATTTTTAATTTTTTTGAATATTAAATACATATATATATCTTATAATAATTTAAACATTGTGCATGTGCACATGATCGAACACTAGTAATATAATAAGTCTCATATATGCATATATAATCAAATTATATGAGCTTGTGATCCAACATCAATATTTCAATCTTTTGTTTTATATTATAAACTTTAAATTTATCTATGCTATCCTATTAATTAACAACCATATAAAGTTCAAAATTGATGGCACATCACAAGCTCGTCAGCTGGAACAGACTCGCTCAATGGGCCACAACAAGAGTCAATATATAAGAAAAAGTCTGACAATCCATTTTGTTCGTTGTCAACACTTTTGTTCCAAGAAAAGTCATTAAATCAAAAGAACCCACAAATTGATGGTCCAAGATGACGACAATATCGCAATTATTATATGAATTCAACTAGTTTTTTATTTGGTTTGATTTTTAATTATAGTTAATTTTGAAAAAAAATAGTATAATTAGTTGTTGGTGGACATATTAAAATAATATTTAAATTAAATAATTAAAGTTAACTAGTGTGTACCCGATGCACGGGAACATTATTAAATTAACAATATTATAAATAGACATCGAGTTTGAGTCACTCAATGACGGAAGTGGAAACTACTATTAATCCAGGAAGAAAAAAATAATCATAAATTAAAGAGGAGGATAAACAATACTTAATAATTATAAATTAAAAATTCAGGGTCAAACAATGTAAAATTATTTTGTATAAGGGAATATTAAAAAATTTGATTACACACCATTTCAAAATTATTATTATACTTTTTTGTATGATTAGCTTATAATATTTGTAAAAATATTAGTAGTAGTAATTATGAATTGGTTTCTATTTTATTTTACTTTTTTCTTTTTAAAGATAATGGATTTCTAGTAGTAATTATGAATTGGTTTCTATTTTATTTTATTTTTTCAAATCTGTATAGATAAGGGATGAGATTTTTAAAACACATGAGACGCATGCAATGAGATTTTGTAATAGAAGAGATAAGCAATAGGATTTTGTAACTCGTGTAGATTTATACTAAAAATAGGAAAAAGAAAAACAAATATTTATTGTCAAGCAACGATTTTGATAAACTAAAAAACGAGAAAAAGAGAAACAAATCTTTACACAATTAATGAGCTGATTTTTTTGCCTATTCAGATTTGTCCAACAATTACTATATATAGAATATATTTAATGATTTTGGCGTAAAAATATTTCTAAATGTGTTAAAAGGTTATTCTTTTTATATAATGATAGATTTGATATAAAATATGAGAAAAATGATTTGAAGTGATAATTAGTTAAAATTATGTGAGTGGGTGAATAGTGAATTAAAGTTGATGTGATGTGTAATAATGATTGGTTGATATTATTTAATTATATTGATAATATTGAAGATAGTGGGATTGAGTTAAAGTTGAGTTAATTTTGAGTCTTGATTGATTTTTTTTTTTGGTTGGTAAAATGCTAAAATGCTTTCCTAAAAATTAATAAATAAGTAACATTTTTAGTTAGGATATTTGAAAAGAATAATCTATATACAATAAAATGAGAAAACCTGTTTTTAGCAGACATTTTTCGGTTCTTTTTAAATATTAAGTTTGAATTTATTTTCTAAATATTTTTATTAGCATTTTTCTATACGATTATATGAACTAAAATATGTATCATATTCTCAATATAATATTTCTTTTTGCTATCAGTTCTGACAAATAATTATTAAAGTTGTTTTTTATATCGACAATTTTAGATTTCAATCCAACATTTCTAACATAAAATAAAAATTAATTATTTTCCATATAAAAAATAATATTTTTCTATCAGTATTATTTAAAACTGAAAAACAGCACTTTATATTTAAAATAATATAAATACACCACGATAGAGAAAAAATAATAATTATTAAAATATTTAATAATATCAAAAAGAATAATCAATTATCTTTTTTCCCCCTAAGACGTGACTCATGAAATAAAATATCTTCCCTTTTCAAATTCCCGAAATTAGAGAAATATTACATCTTGACTACCCAGTCCCCAAGTACGGACACATCATCCATACCCACTTTTTCCTTCCACTTTATGTATGGTATAAAATAACAATCAAATAATGCGAGCCTATATTACTATGAATTTACCAAGTCCACCATATCAATCTTGTTTTATTTGGCCAAAATAATACTGAAAATGATAGTTCCAAAAAGTAAAACCAACACGTTTTAATGGTAAGGCATGTTGCGCTGTAACCTCTTTCTGGCTCATTTATAAATACAGCACTCTCCTTCACAATCAACACCACACANCCAAACCCCACAACTCGCCACATTCAGATATAATATATACTTCACAAAGAAAGAGCTAATTACAGAAAAGAAAGATGGAGAATTCCGACAAATTCAGCCGGTTTTCCAGCTGCAGGGGCGTTGCGTTCGAAATCAAACCCCACCTCGACCCGTTTGCCGTCCCGGATAGGGTCACCAACCCGGCCCGGAACTCCAGTAGATGGCTCCCGTTGGGGAGCATCTCGAAGATCTTCCCGTCCTCCGAGCTCATCCAGAGGACTATGAGCCGCACCAGCAGCCATTACTGTGACCTCGAAACTCAAGAACAACAAGAAGACTCCGACACGGAGGAGGATGACGATGAAACCTTAGCCAAAATCGAGGAAGGCCACCCCCAAAACAACGGCAACCAATCACCTGAGCCACTCCTCGTCCTCCCGCCCGCCGCCAGCAAACGCCGCCAAACTCCTACCAAACCGAAACCCTCGAGGCTCTCGGTTATCCTCCTCGACCAGGGCCTCTTCACTGTCTACAAGCGTCTCCTCCTTGTTTGCGTGGCCTTAAATGTAACGGGACTAACCCTTGCGGCCACCGGAAACTTCCCTTACGCCAGGGCCCGACCCGCCCTGTTCTCGATCGCAAATGTCTTCGCGCTCGTCCTTTGCCGGAGCGAAGCGTTCCTGAGGCTCGTCTTTTGGGCGGTCGTGGCCGCTTTCGGCCACACGTGGGTTCCTCTTCGTCTCAAGACGATGACGACGTCCCTACTGCAGTCGCTTGGAGGAATACACAGCGGCTGCGGGATCTCCTCCATCGCCTGGCTCGTCTACGCCCTCGTCCTTGCTGCGAAAGATGGCTCCGGCACCCCACCGGAGGCTTTCGGCGTGGCGGCAGCGATCCTCGGTCTCCTCGCGTTGTCGGCACTTGCGGCTTTCCCGCTCCTCCGGCACCTCCACCACAACGTGTTCGAGCGGACCCACCGGTTCGCGGGCTGGGCCGCCCTCGCCCTCCTCTGGGCCTTCGCCTTACTCACCGTCTCGTACAACCCGACAACCGAGTCCTACCGGGATGAGTTCGGGTCGAGGCTCGTCAGAAGTCAGGAGTTTTGGTTCACACTCGCGACAACTGTGTTGATCATCGTGCCGTGGCTAACAGTGAGAAAAGTGAAAGTGCAAGTCTCGTCTCCGTCTGGTCATGCCGCCATCATCAAGTTTGAGGGTGGGGTCAAGTCCGGGATCCTCGGGCGGATAAGCCCGTCGCCGTTTTCTGAGTGGCACGCGTTCGGGATTATCTCGGACGGGAAGAAAGAGCATATGATGTTGGCGGGTGCGGTGGGGGACTTCACCAAGTCTTTGGTTTCGAACCCCCCGACACACTTGTGGGTCCGACAAGTGCACTTTGCGGGGTTGCCTTACCTGACAAACATGTACGGTAAGGCTTTGTTGGTAGCGACAGGGTCGGGTATTTGCGTGTTCCTGTCCTTCCTTCTGCAGCCGAGCGCGGCGGAGGTGTGTGTGCTGTGGGTGACAAAGGGAGTGGAGGAGAATTACGGAGCGGAGATAAAGGGGTGGATGACTGAGGCTTCGAAGGCGGGAAGGGTTATCGTGCATGACACGATGGTGATGGGGCGGCCGAACGTGGCTGATATGAGTGTGAAGACGGCCAGGGGGTTTGGGGCTGAGGTGGTGATCGTGACTAGTAATCCAGAGGGGAGTAGGGACGTCGTCGACGCGTGCAAGGCAGCAGGGTTCGCAGCCTTCGGCCCAATTTGGGATTCTTGATTTAAAGTTACATTATCTTTCACTTGATTGTCTATATATATATATACCTAGCAAACTTTGGCTGTGCAAGCACAGCCGGCCCACGGCGGCAAAGCGATGGGCCCACGGCTCTTGGAAGTATTTAGGAGTAGTATTGTTCGTCGATTGATCAGTTAAAGTTATGGGAATTGCTTAGTAGAGTGTCAAAATAAACATCAGTTTGAAATTGCACGCATAACCAATAAAGTCAGCATAAGAAAGTGGCAGTTTACAAAAGATGCCATATGTGAAAATAAATTGATAGAATTGAGGAACATCTATTTGAAAATAGATGTTTACAATTCTGTTAAGTTGCAAAAAAGGCAAAAAGGATGAGTTTGATTGCTGCTATGTCAAGCAAAAGTACAAAAGTCTGGTGCAAAGGATTTAATCCATTTTGGGCGACTTTTCTTGGAAGGGCTTGTGGCAGTATTCTGTGTTGGTTGTAGTGTTGACCGGGTTGGAGTTGAGCTACTTGTTTGTGTGGTGTCTTGCTGGGCGTCAAAGTTGATTCGTTTTTTGGTTGAGCTTTCTGGAGTGGGCACATTTGGTGACTTTTCGATTTTGAGGGCGACGGACTCGAGCACATTTTTAAGTGTTGGGCTGAAGAGATTTGGATCTGTTGCCTGTTTTATGGGAATTATAAATTATTGTAATATATTTTTTCAGCATGAATTGGTAACTATAGAATTTATTCTGTAATACCTTAAAGGGGGCTGCTGTAGAACTTTCTTTTCCAGACGACTCTGTTGTAGATGCATTTCCTTGAATCATCATCATTTGAATACTATAAAGCTTGACAACTGTGTGGTAAGCAGATTTCGATTGTTTTACGAAGCAGACGACTTTGTGGCGTGCGACTGATGCCGCAATTTCTTTAGTTAAATCACGACCCTGCATAGAAAATTTGATGCAATTGGTCAAAATTGGTTGAATTGCTTCTGTCTAAATATTTTAAATTTAATAAATGAAACGACGATAAGGTTGATTAGAGTTTTTTTCTCTGTCAACAAAATATAAGTGAAGTTTAATAGTCTATGTTTAATTAACTAAAAATATTTATGTCTTTTTTGTTTATAACAAATTTAAACAGTTGGCTGTAGTATGAAATTTAAAAGGGTGAGTAGTAAAGCTATTTATGAATGAGCTGATATTTTATGCAGTAGTCATATTTCCTTAAAAAAAAATTGAAAACAATAGTTGTAAAATTGCATATAATTGGTTCCTGTATAAGTTGAAAATTGTATATGTTTAGAATGTATGCACCTGTTGGTCTGCCTCATATAGTTGATTGCCGCTATAAGTGATTAACCGTTCTGCATCCTCGCCATAGATTACAGCATTCATAGTTCCAGTTTGATCTTCGATTGTTATTGGCAAGCGGCACCTAATATATTTAAATAGTTTTTGGATTAAGATCTAAGTTTATAATGATGCTTCTTTATTTACTGTAAGGAAAAATGCAAACACTACCGTGCTTCAACATGAGAGTCCTCGCGACAAATACGACATTTCATTGGGGTGTTGGGGAGCATGTTATAATTCTTACGACAAATGTGACATGTGGCTGTCCACAAAGGCCTGTTGTCGTGAATGAATTTGATTTTTCCGCTAATCCAACAAGTTTTGACCTGGATCAATAGTTATAAAAATAAATAAATACGTACTGTTGTTGTATAAATTCAGAAAATGTTTAGTGCTTACACTTCGCATCACTGCAACGGCATCCTGGACAGTGACTATAGCAGTCATCTCAGGCATTGGGATGAGCTTGTCTGTATTTCTGTATGTTTCTTCGTTCACAAGTTGTATGACATGGTTTTTGTTCTCAATGTACCTGTTGAGTGTATGAGGATGTGAATCTAAATGTATTTAAATTGCTTATAGCTATATTAATAAACCCAATTCAGTTTACCACTGCTTTAATTCAGCTGCTGCAGCCATTGGTGGATTTACCATTAAGCAGACTCCCACTTTTGTAGATAATGACAGACCTGTAGACATGAATATACCAAAAAAAAAAATCTAGGAAAAAGGACAAAAATGTCAATTTTTTGTTATTTTCAGTATTTTTTGTTATTTGTTATGGAAGTTCAAATTTTAATATATGCCGTTAAATGTGGTAACTTTAATCCGCATAGCAAGTAGAACATTTCCAGCTGCTACTGTATTAGCTAAATGCAGACCTTCATCATTTTCAAATTGGTTCCACAATGTTAAAAGCATTGGTTTCTCCCTGCAAAACAATAAACGCTAAAGCAAGAGTTTTAAGCTATATTTGAATTATTTTTTTAAAAAAAGTTCTTATTCTTGATTCACAATGACTAAGTCTCTTGTTTTGTTGTTTTTACCAAGATTTCTCACTGGGAAAGCATGCACAACAACTGCTAAAAGGCCTGTTATAATGAGCATTTTGTTAATGAGCAGGTAGGTTGAATTCTTTGTTATTTGTTGAAAGGTAAAATAAGAGTAATTGGTTAATAAGTAATCTGTGTATGCATAATTTACTCACTTCTGGGGTTGTCTGTGTCTGCGTACTTGTGTATGTCTGCAAAGGTGTGGATATCCATGTGGCATGGAAGTTGTGGAGGCAGGGACTCTTGGTATTCTTCGACATTAGTTCCAGAAACTATAAGCCAGTTGTATTTGTAGTCACTAACTTGATAAAAAGGAACCTCGGGCCGAACTTTTGCTCCAGATAGGTAGTATCTCTTGTATGGCATAAGAAGTTCATCAAACTCGTTAATAACAGCATTATAAACAACCACAGAAACTTTTGTCCCCTGCAATTTAAAAGAAATTATTAACAGTAGAAAATATATGTATATTAGTGTGTATGTAATTTTGTGTATAGATCTACTATTATACACTTGTACCTCCTCATCTGTAAACAAATATCTACGGTAAAGCGTGGACGTATTATTTTTGCTAGTCTGAACAGGTGGTCGTTCAACAACTTGAATTAGTGCAGTCCAGTTATTTGTTTCATCTGTAATCTGGTGAATCGGCAAATACACCCGTGACATTATGATCTGTGTATATTAAAAGTGACAGTGAGAAGATACATAAGTTGAAATAATATTTATAATGATATATTATGAAAGTAATCTAAAAGAAACTACTGAGCCTATTTTTGAATCAGAATGAATACATAAGTAAGTACTTTGTGTTGCTGCAGCTACATCAAGAACTTCATGGTATACGATGTTTTTTGTAACATCAATGCGTTGTGGATCAAAGAACGGTGGTTTAATCACAAATTTGATGGCTGTAGATTGTTTTGCTCGTGATAAGGCTATATATAGTTGTCCATGCGAAAAAATTGGTTATTTTAAATAAATACCTACAGATTCTAGAGTTTGACCCTGTGCTTTGTCAATAGTCATAGCAAAACAAAGTCGGATGGGGAATTGTGTTCTTGTGTAAGGCACGGGAATTTGGTCATCAGATGAAGGTTTTAATGGAATTCTATGAATAAAGACACTTTTTCCTTTGAAGTCTCCTATGGCTATTTCTTCATGAATAACATTTCTGCTTAGTTTTTTACATATTAGTCTTGTTCCATTACATAAGTCTTCTATAGGATCTAAGTTTCTAAGAAGTATAATAGGAGCATTGACCTTTAACTATAGTTAATGAGGCGGCATACCACCAGGAGTTAAACTATTTATTATATCTTCATAAAGACCTCTATGAATAGGGTTTAACACTTCATCAAAACTTAGATATTCAACCATTTCTCCTGGGAAATCATTGATGAGTTTATTATTTATTTCATCTACAAAGCAATTTTTAGTAGACAAAATAGCACTGTTCATAGGAAAATTTACCTCAATGTTATTTATAGTACTGCTTTGACTGCTATTAGGTATATTGTTAACATAGAATTAAGGGTAGATTATTTTGATTAGTTCCTCCAAAGCATTTTCAGTATCAGGGGCTTTAACTATAAAGGAAGAAGGCAAATATATTGAATTGTTATTATGTGTGGGTTCTATCCCATTTCCAATCCTTAGCAAATAATCTGTAAACATCGGATCAAGTCGAGCTCTCATATTTTGTGTTAATTTTATTTTTTCAAGTACTGGCCAAATATAAGAATTTGTAATACATGCATCTATAGTATCATGTTTATTTCCTCTACGAACAACAGGTTATATTTGTCTAAAATCGCCACCAAAAACAATTACTTTACCTCCAAAGATTTCGGGAGAGTCTGTTATGTCTTTAAGCATTTTATCAAGTGCTTCAATTGATGTTTTTTTAGACATTGGCGCTTCATCCCATACAATTAATTTACTTTCTCGAATTAAATTTGCTAAATTACTTTGTTTGCTGATCTTACATGTTTTTCCTTCAGACGTATTGATTGGTTTTTAAATCTTGAGTGTGCTGTTCTACCACCTGGTAGTATAGATGCTGCAATACCAGAAGTAGCGGTTGCTAGTGCTATATAACCCTTAGATCTAATGTCAGCTAAAAGAGCTCTATACAAAAATGTTTTGCCAGTTCCACCTGGCCCATCTATAAAAAAAGCTCCTGGTTTTTTTACTATATACTCGTTCTAGTATAATGGAGAAAGAGTTTTTTTGTTCTTCATTTAGCAATTTTACAACATTTAAATCTTCTACAGAAACAGTTATATTTGTTTCAGCTGTTATTTCTCTATTGTTATCCTCATCATGTAAATGAATATTATCAGGTAAAATATCGAGTGAATGAATATTTCTTCCCATAGATTCTAGGAAACCATTGATCTGTTGTAAAACTTTTTTTCTAACATCTATTTTACTAAAATATATGTTACATGTATAGTCTTCCGACATAGCATCTTCATATTTGAAGAATAGTTCTCTAGGGTTGTTAGGACATGAATAAATTAGAAGATTAGCAAAAAGTCTTCTCATTTCATATGGTATTTTAAAAATGGAAGCTTCTTGAAGGCAAAGATCTTGAGTATTATCGTCTTGTAAGAGGCCTCTTGAAAGAGCTGATTCACGATAAGTCGAAGCGACTCTGCCATTAAAGGTTTTAATGTCTACGTAAGATTTAGGACCTTTAACGTGTAGCAAGAGCAACTTAAGATAATATCTCTCTCCTTCATTTGGATGTACAGTTACAATTCTACCTATAGAATCTTTTCCACCTCTTTTTTTCCATTTTTTTTCTTCAGATAACCAAACAAAGTACTCAGGGAACTGCACATATGTTAAATTTAGGGACTGTGCATATTCATCATTTCTGTTCATATAAAAAAATTCAGTTAGCATAGTTTTATGATTCCTTGGATTATTTACAATTCTATCCAGCCTATCTTTTTCGTTGAAGTTGATTTTATGATAATTTTCTAAATGAACAGGTAAATTAATAACAAAAGGTTTTATTTCACTTATTGGGAACCTGAAAATCCTCCATGCAGCTTCAGGTGGAGAAACCCAGTGTGTTGTTCTATATTGTTCAATCTCATCAACTTGCACATTTTGATTAGATGTGTCAACATGAAATGCTATTCTGTCATGACCTTTGCAAATGTATTTATAAATATATTTAACAGAGCGGATTGTTGAACAAACCTCTACATTAATATGACAGTTGAATTTTGCAAGTAAATATGGATTATACGGCACAACCCATCGATTATCCAACATTTCCCCTCGAACTTTCACTCTAACATTATTATTTCGTCTTTGATATTTTGGATATGAATTACTTATTTGAACAGTTCGATCAGAAAAAGGTTTTGGATAATTAAATCTGCATTTGTTTTTATTCGTCATACATGAATTACCTTCGTTTAATTCTCCACATGGACCATGCATCATGTGTTTCTTAACCATGTTGTATAGATGAGACTGTAATGTTTTATCTGGTATTTCAGCACAAACTGCTTTATCAAATTCTTCAGGGTTATATAATTTATTTTCATTTGCAAGTATAATAAGCATGTGCGCATGTGGAAGTCCTCTTTTTTGAAACTCTATAACATATGTGTAAGCAACTACTTCCCCAAACAGATGTTTTTTAAGGATGTCTTTTTTCAGCTCTTCAAGTTTAGCACGAAAGACTCTTGCCACTAAATCAGGTCTGTTATGTGCTTCTTCGTTTTCAATTAAAAGTTCTTTTATTTCAGGCCAGCTGGGATTACATGTCATAGTCAAAAAAATATCTGGTTTACCAAATCTTTGTACTAATGTCATTGCATCTAGGTATCTTTTTTTCATGTTTCTTGGATCTTCAATAAAACTGGCTGGCAAAAATATTCTTTGACCTATTTTTGATGCATTTGTTTCACCTGCTGTTACACTATCTTTTATTTCTTGTAAAAATTCTTGTCTAATCTCATTTTGTTGTATCCTAAAGTAATCTAATCTCTGCGACTCAATTTTGACATACACATCAACTATATACTGTTGAAATAATCTACCAAAATTCAATAAATATGATTTATCATTTTGCCTGATTTGGAACTTATAGGCATAGTAGTCTCTCATGGAAACAAAATTTCTACTCCCCCTGTTTTAGTGTTAGCTGAAAAGAGAAGTATTACATATGTTAGTTTTACCTTAGGGGAAAACAATATACTTAAAATATTTATATAAAAAATATTATAGCTTTAAAGTATGTTATATGGTTGCTTACCATCTTCTGCTTCGAGTAACTCGTCAACAGATTCGAGGAGTGTAGGTGAAATTACATGTAATGTTTGATTTACTCGTGATGTATTTCTTGAAACTGTGTTTGCTAATTTTTCTATACCCTGATTCCATCCAAGTTCACCAAAAGGAAAAAGTAAAGGGTACTGTAATGGATCATAACAACCAAAGTAATATTGTATTCTATGCGAGATGCCACTATGGCTATATATTTGAATGTTCCTCTCAGATGGTTCTTCATTGTCGTCACTTTCAACCCATAAGGCTGCTACTTGAGATGATTCTGGTTTATTATAAACTCTCTGGTCAAGTTTTGGTAAAGTGCGCAACACTATTTTATAATCATCAACATTGGATAGCTTGCTAAGACTTCTAAAGAACTTTGCGTAAGGATTTTCTTTTAGAACAGTCATGATTTTCTGGATTATGGATTCTGTTAATCTAGGGCAAGCTTTCAATCTATTGGCAATCTCATTCTCAGTATCATGGAAATACAATTGTAAATTTTGAGAGGCCTCCAAATCATTCATAAAATGATACATTTGTCCTTGTATTCTAAAAGTGTAAATCCCTTTATCACGGCGCGTTAAGTTGTTATTACATTTCACACCCAATGATGTGAAGGAAAATTGGTTATTGATAGTTCTTATGCAATCACGAAATAATTTAGATTCTTCTGTTGATGCTAAAAGTAGTGTTTTCAAAATATCTGGCAAAGGGTTATTTGCTAATTTAATATTACCCTCTGAACAGCAAAATTTGGTTGATTCATATTGAAATTTAACAGCATTGCAATACCGGCAATTCTTTTGTTTAGAAAGTATAAAAGGCTCACCTGGCATGTTATCTCAAAGGGCACGACATGGGGGTTGAGTATTACCTAATACAAATACGGTTCAGAGTTATGTTTTATTCATTAATCCTAATTATTTCCTTGTAAAATTTTAGACAATTTTGTTCATTAGACTATACCTGTTGGCCTTGATCTATTATTGGTAGAGGGACCTGTTTAACATGTATCAAATGAGATGTTTGTCTAAAGATTAAGGGAAAAAAAATGTTTAGTTAGCTACTTATAATGTTTTACTTTTTGAATAAAAAATTATTACCTTCGGCATGCGACGTCCACAGTATAGATTCACCTAAAGGGTGCCCTTGACATAAATCAGTGTCTGACTGAAAGGGTGTCCGATCAACAGTTTCAGATGATGAATTTATAGTTCTAGTGTTTGTCTGAACGGCCATGTGTACACTTTTTTGTTTGTTTAGAAGTTTATCATTAGTTTGTTTATTTACTGGTAGAACAGTTTTATTTTCAGAACATGTTTGTTTATTTTTCTGACCTCTTCCTCTTTCAATTATCTTTGCTTTGCCCTTGATAGTACTGAAATTAACTGGAGAGGTAATTTTAGCTGTAGGCTGATCAATTGTCTTACTAATAGTTTGTTTAGGTAATATTTGTTGTGTACAATAGAAAGGAGGTTCCGTGACTTGGTAGGTATGATATTGTACAACATCTGTTGATTTGTATGCACACAAAGTAGTGGAATTATATAACATATTTTCATTAACAGTATTTTCAGAAGTGTACAGCGGTAATAGACGCATATCCTGAGTTGCAAGTATAGCTCGTCTTTTTTTTTTTTGTTTCCATCTTTGAATAGCATAATAGCGATATCTTTTTTTAGCCAAAAAAATTTTAGAGGCAGAAAGGTCAACCGATCTATTGTTTTCGTGAGACTCAAACATGCCTAAAAGATCTATTTGTACAGCATGAACTACTAAAAACAGATAAACTGGTAAGTTAATGAAAGATATCTAAACATTGAACGCAGATAAACTTAGATTTACCCCAAAAGGATATAAGAAACAAAGAACCTAAGATGAAGAGAAGGCTATAATAGGCAGATTCAAAAAAAAAAGAAAAAACAATGCATAACCTAATTATAGACATAAAAGATTATGATATAATACCCAAAATATAGCAAACTATTAAACAACAAAGAAACTAACATAGATTATCAGCATATAGCCATAAGAAAACAACACTACAACAATATATACAGTCACACACCTATAAAAGCAAATACATAACAAAACAAATAGAACATGAAATAGTAGTTTTAAAAATCTTTGACTAACCTGATAGCAAGAAATGGACAATTGCAACAGCGTTCCGATTTACCTCCGAAGATGCCAAGAAGTTGAAAGAGCAATAACCTACAAAAAAAGAATACGATTCAGTGAAGTATAAACTTTACTAAAGAATAGAATAAATCAATCAGATATCATACACCTACAACTATATATAATGTATAAGCAATTATTTTTACAGAACGTATAAACCTAAGAAAAAACTTAATCACCCGAAATCCAAATGGTAAAAAGCTGCAATACCTTTTAAAATGTTAGCAAGTAACAAAACCTTACTAAAGAAAAAATGAGCTCATCTTAAACTAATCATGTATTTAGTTTTTAACTTGATATTCATATGGTTATTTGTTCTGATGAAATTAGATGAACCTCTAACAAACACAAACAAACATATATTGTAAAAGGACAAACTTGTTTGCTTAACATATAAAGAAACAGAAAAATAACTCTATCATTTCAACACAAAGTAAAGTTCAACACAAGTTAACATTAGATTTGTTAGATTTCATGTCTTTAGTAGACCTATATTTCCACAGAAAATCCATCTGTTTAGATAAATTTCACAAACACATATTGGAAATCATCTCGAATATTACAATACACTAATCTTTGTTTCCAAAAACATCAAGAAAAAGAGCAAATAACTTGAAGTTGAAAAAAAAAAAAAAAATCAGCTGAAGGTAAAGAAATCGACATAAACTGAGTAGAGAAAACTTACCTGTAGCAATGGAGCTGTTTTCTTGAGAGTATACTTAGTGCTTAAATATAAATTGCTTTTCTAGAAAGTATCTATATACATATACAGTTTAGTCGATGCCACCCGCGAGGGTGGCACCCGTTTTTACTGTGACCCAATAGAAGCGCGCCGCGTGGCAATGAGAGTTTCAGCCTCTTTTTTTTAATTTTCGCCTTTTCCAGCTTTTATATTTCAGTTTTTTTTTTATTTTATTTTATTTATTTACTAATAACCATGGTTTGGAACCGTGGTTATACTAAAACAACAAAAGGATTCAAAATCGCACAAAAATTTCAGAAACCAACAGAAAGAGAAAACAGGACGAAAATTCATCTTCTTCAAGAGAGAAAAATTTGATTTCGAGTCGGTGGCCGATGATGGCCTAACGCAGCTCGCAAGCATTCGATTTTAAACTGATGGGGGCCGATTCTAAGTTTCGCAGCTCGCATTCAAACACTTCATAGCCAAAGGGACAGATTGGAGCAACAAAAAAAATCGGTTGTGGAAGATGGTGGATTGTCGAGTTCACAGGTAAAAACTGCATATGAATTTCCCTTTTGTCAATTTTACTTGTCCGTGAATTAGGGTTTGTGATTTTAGAGTCCTGTTTTGTAATTTTTTTTTTTTTGTCTGAGGTTCTATTTTGTAAGAAATTGACCCGATTTCTTTGCATTTATTTTGTTCTGTTTTGTCTATTTGTCTGAGGTTTTTTTGTTCTGTTTTGCTAATTAGTAGAATAATGCTATATAATGCTTTGCTTGGGAATCTCAGTAGCTAGAATGCTTTTCCTGGTATATGAAACTGAAAATGATTTGAAGAGAAACAATATAAATCAGTGTGCATTGAGAGTTGGTTTTAAGTTTGATAATTTAATAGTATAGTATTAAATTATTAACCCTTATTTAAATGAACTTTTGTGATTTTTTATTACATATGTGTATGTGATTTGTCATTACATTTGTTATACATGTAATTTGTAATTACATCTGTGTATGTGAGTGTGTATGCGAGAGATTATGAGATTATGATGACTGTAATATTTGGCCCAAGTTCTTTTATCATGTCTGGTTCCAGGAATCACAACAACTCATCAGATTTAGCCGGATTACAAAAAACTACAAAACCTTCAGTGAAATGATTAAAACTACAATTATTTTTGTGGTGATGTTTTAAAGATTGAATCTTTATCCCTATTTGAAATTGCTACTTGTGTAATAGTTCATTTTAGTGATTTATAACTCCTGCATTGTTGTTCAAAAATTACTTATGCTTGGTTTTGACTCAAGATTTGATTAAGCTGAAACTGAGAATATTTTGGTGGCTCACTTGTGTTGTTCACTTATCTGCATTTGCATTTAGTGTACCAGATTGCTTGACATACATAAAAAGCATTTTGTACTATGTTATTTATAACTCTTTAGCTATGCACGTCAATGACGTCGGGCATGTTAAGAAATCGTTGCATGTCGGTTGTATGTGGATCATTAATGTTTTATCGGTATATACCGTTACAATCTTATGTTCGTTATTTGGCCAAAGTTTAGTAACTTGTGAACACTTGATGTTGATTTTCCTAATCTATGTGCACGTGCTATTCATTCGAATAGTTGTATAGGAAATCTGGACCACATTTACTTTTGGAGTTCTCCCCGTAAAATCTTTCATGTGATTGCAGTCGTTGAAAATTTGTTCCTTAGTATTTTCTTTACACGTTTCTGTTAGCCATATCGGATGAACTTAGCAGGTTTAATTGAATTTCAAATGTATGCTTACGTACGGCAATTAGCTAATAAATGTTTTCTACCGGTTCTTTTGAGATAACGGCAAAATGTGAAGCCATTAGTCCATTGTTGTGTCTTGCTGTGTTTCATTTCCTTTTTCTATGAAGCCACAGTCATTGCCCTTGTTGGGTATCTATGCCTAAGTTGAACCCAAAAAATGAATTGTTTATTTATTCAAATATCAAACACTGCGATTTTTTCTCGACTTGTTGCTCGTTCTATTGCTTGAATTTGGGTTTGGGTATCGAGTTGTTGCTTGAATAATAACATTCTATTTTTATTTTTTTTTTGAAGGTTTGAAAATGTCAGACTTCAACCACTAAGAAATTTGGAAGACAAAGTAGACTGAAGTATGAAAGATAAAATATGTGACCAATGTGGAATCAAACTTGCAGTGAAGATTGTTGGCCTCCGAAGTCCAAATTTTCAGAAACTATTACTTTTGTAATAGAGATGGATTTATTGGTTGGACTAATCCAATAAATGAATAAGCAGTAAGCATAAGGGAAGAAGTTAGCACAAGCGAGAAAACTAAAGTGGATCGTGAGAGCTACAAAGATGTGAAAAAAAAAAAATAAAAATTGATAAGATTTTTGATTTATTACTTGTGTTATTTGTAGTAGTAATTATAATGCTTGTTATTATTATAATAAAATAAAAGAATTGGTATTTTTACTACTGGACATGAATAATTAACTTGTTATATGACAAAAATGAATGGGTATTTTTATTACTCTATTTTGATTGTCAAGATTCTTTTAACATGTTATAACATAAGGTTATGAATATGGTCAATTTGAGGTTGATAAATTTATGTACACGTATGTCCGCTAATATGTTTTTGCTATCCGCAAGTGTACGGCGTAGCTGTAGGTATGTAGTGGCGAGTTAGATAGTATTCCACAGAGATTATAGCGACGAGCTAACTCGTTGATCCACAACTTTATGAGAATACTTATTTCATGTTCATCGAAAATTTTAGCAATGGTTGGAAATAAATTCCAAATAAAATCATTGTTCCACAATAATGCTTCACAACAAAAAATATGTAATGCCATACTACCAAAAGTTCATATAGCTCCAAATAGAAATCCACAAGAACAATACACAAAATGAATGTCCCTAACGACACTATTACACCACAATAAAGAGTCAATCTAAAGTTGTTCTTGAACCTCATAATTTGGTGTTGAAGAAAATCCAATAAGTTGTTCTTGAAGCTCTTCACCATGATCCTCAAAGTCTTCACATTGCGCCGCAAGATAATGGTCCATCAATTCAATACTACCTACATAAAAAAAAAAAAGAATTAATCAACAAAAGAAAGAATTAATTAGGTACAGAAATTAGTATTTAAGTTTCTTGTAGCTATTCCTTCTTTTGTGAATTTGATCCACTTGTAATCTCTTTAATTTATGTATCATGTACTTCAAACCGGTCACACTATTTATGTTCAGAATTTTAGCTTAACAGATGTAGTTACAAATTACATGTATAACAGATGTAAGGACAAATCACATACACAGATGTAATCAGAAATCACAAAAGTTCATTCATTTAAATAAAGGTTAATAATTTAATACTATTAAATTATCAAATTTAAAGCCAACTTTCAATGCACACTGATTTATATTGTTTCAGTTCAAATCAGTCATTTTTTCATATACCAGGCAAAACATTCTAGCTACTGAGATTCCAAGCAAAGCATTATA